TTATTCCACATATCCTTAAAACCGCGTATAAATTCAATTGTTATCCATTTTTAAGGGTAAACAAGTGTATATATCTATATTCCGTGGAAAAATACTGAATTCAAACAAGTCCAAGTAGCAAATACAATTGTTCTATTTTTTATTTAGTATTCAGATGATCCATCTGCAGCTCCCCTATTTACCCTTGCATTTTGTTATGAATGTCGAAAAGGGCAAGATCTATATTATCTGGTGATTGCCATAATTAGTAGCTAAGATTACTTAAACCATTAATTGTCACCTAAATCTTTCGGTAAATTTTGTCCGTTTCATCAATTCCTTTGGTCCTTTTTTTACTTTCAAATCATAGGAAATCCAAAAAAATCTTTATATGAATGCAAAAATAGTATAATAAAGAATATTTGTAATTTCAGTATATTTGAAAATGTTATAACTTATACTAACAGATAACTTGTATTTTTAACAGGTTTGATTTCACTTTTTACCGACGGGTCTTGTAATTATATTTTACGTGAGCTTATTAACTTCATATATACTTTAAACTATGGTAGGATGGCGACGGATGTGTGCCGCTCATTACGGGCTAATAATTAGGATAATATCTTTATTTATGCCACGTATAATTAACTGAGATTAGGCTTTACATCTATTCTATTTACAACTTGCGTCAAGCCACTATTTCTTTTTAACAAAAACAATTAACGTAAGTCCAAATTCCAATATTTTCACACAAAATACCTTTTGCTTTATTTCACTTTCGAATTTTATGCTTATTTAAAGTTCATATTACTCAATCTTTGTAAATTAAGGGGCTAAATGCAGCCTATGACCATCAATTGTTACTGTATACCGTTCAACAAAGGAAACTGATCCATAACCAATAAAATCAACTTGGAAAAAATTGACTATATACACATAAAAATGACAAGAAAAATAATAAACGCTTAATTTTGAATCTGTTTATGAAGAAATGTACCAGAATTCCAAATGAAGAATTTTATCATGTTAAGTTCAACATTTGAAAATTCTATGGTCAGAATGTTGACAAGAATTTATCACCTCATATGATCCAAGCAACAAAAGAAATTTTATTTCAGCCAACCTCTCTGAACGGGCATGACTTTATTAAATTTTCTTCTTTTTTGAACTTTGGACGGGATGGAAATATTGGACTACTTTTTAAAAAATTTCATCCGGCGTACGATATTTGTTTTGGGGTCTTGGCTCATTCGAATTCGCGTCACTTAAGGCCCATTAAAAGGGGGAAGCGCCTCCTATTTGGCCTTTTTTCATTCAAAGGGCTCGAAAGCGGTGGGGAATTCAAATAGGGATCTTTACATAAATAGTCAGCCGGATTCATTGTTTTCTTTTTCTAATCGGTATACATAGATTATATTTATTGTTTTCTTTTTTGAACCGGCATACATAGATTATACGTCAATTATATATGATTATACATATATTGTACATTGATTATATATCCGCCGGCTATTTTTAGTTTAAGTGGTTGGTTGGTTGCTATTTGGGTTAATTCTTCGTTCAAATACATTCCACCCTAACCTTTGGTGCTCATTGGGCACTTTTTCTCTTTTTTTCTCCTATTTGTTTAGAGTTTTAACCTTAACTTTTACTATATATAATAATTTACTACTATCATGTAACTTAAAAGGAAATTAAATGATATTTGTAACTTGAAAAATAAAGCAAGTAAGCTGAAATGCCGATATATGGCAAGTGAAATTACACTGATAATGTAAAGTTTTTTACATTATAAGTGAATATAATCTAAATTCACTTTTCAACTTTTTGGTTTGGTTGAGGTTAATGACTTGGCTATATATCTAAAAAAGCCTTCTAACTTTATTATGTTGATTTCCCACATACTGAGAAAGACAGTCCATCAACTTTGTTTCTAGGGTTTTGAAATGAGCAATCTGCATTTGCAATTCTAACCTTTCTTTTCTTAAGTTCTGATTCTCCTCCATAAGCAGCTGCAAAGTAATATTATTCTCTTCTTTTGCAGCCATTATATGATCAGAAGGCTTCAAGTATGCAGGAAAAGCACTAGAGTCACTTTTCTTTCTTGTGATTTTGCCAAGTAAATGCTTACTTCCTCTCTTGAACTTCTCATGTGAGAATTCCCACCTCTTGGATGCTACTTTCTTGAATCCCTATATATTCAAAAAAAATTATAATTAATTAACAAAATACCAAGGTGAAACTAGAGGCGGGTCAAGATTTAAAAGTGGTTGGGAGACCACTATCGAATAAAATTTTGAGCAAATGTTGAAGTAGGAATCAAAACCAGGCAGCACTAAAAGTTAAGTTGTGCCCCTAAAATCCAACAATGCAACTGCTAAGCTTTGAGTCTTAGGGTGCTAATCAAAATATATAAATGTTATTTACGATATATACATATACTTTTTTCGAAATTATCAGGGGCGGATGACCCCCTATCATTAGGGTACGTAGGTCTGCCTCTGGGTAAAACTATGGAGTAGTATTTAATAGATAGGAAAGCAGAGGCGGATTTAGGGTGGATTACGTGTGTTCAACTGAATTCATAGCTTTTGAAATATACATATGTGCAAAAATTTGAAATGTACAAATATAATAAGATTATAAATATTTTTTAACTCAGTGACTCTAAATCTTGGATTTGTTTTTGTTTGAAGGAATGTTGTATAGAGTGGAAGGCTAGCAAGCCTAGAGAAGAAGAAAAACTACAAGTAAAGTTAAAATCTGGTTCAACATTCATATGCTGGTCTATGTATTATAGAGTTCCTATATATTAAATGAATATTCCACATTCTAAAAAGTTGTCTAGTTTAAGTCAGAATAAAACACGATTTTCCAGAATTTTATTGCAACAAGTGTGATTAAATTGACTTTGGAATAGGATGGTTTTAAATTTGGCTTCGAGCAATATTGACTACTGTTTGATTATCATGAACAAATTAATGACATGTTTGAGTTAACTGATTATAAATAGCTCGTAATAAGCATATAGTGTTAATAAGCAGGTTTTTAGTGTTGAACTTTATTTTAATAATAAGAAGTTAAAGTTATTTTAGTGCTGAATTAAGATGGAACCCTATTAAAGTTAACTAACATGACTCTCCTGGCGATACAAAGTACCTTTACAAACTATATATACAGAGAAAGATCGATACTTAGACAAATAAATTAGTACTATTACCATAGCACTTAGACAAATTTGAGGACAAAAGATCGATCGATACTTAGATTAATCCAAAATCTTATCAGAGAAAAGGATGCAACTTAAATAATAAAGAAATTAATACATGCCTACGTCCAATATATTTTTATTCCTTAACGTTCTTTACAGAAGCTAATCATATTTCACGAGTAAGATTATAAATATGTATACATTAAACCTACATATACATTAGGAGACAACAGTATATTCTTTCAACCAAACATGGGACATATTGTAGCAAATACACACATAAACAAGAGAGAGAGAGAGAGACTTACATAGGTATTAAGTTGTCGGATAAAACTCGAAAAATTGTTGTGCTTGAAATATTTAGGCAACATGAGCTCAGAAAACTCAGCTGGAGACCAAACAACAAAACCAGTGCCCTCTTCATTCCATGAAATAACCTTATTTTTTCCACTATAATTCTCTTCTTCTTCCTCCACAAACTCCAAAAGTTCGTAAGTTTTAAGCAGAAACGGCGCCGGGCATTTCGTTCTCGTCGGCGGCTGGCCGATTTTCCGGCTAATCGTCCGGTCTTCTGCTGTTCCAACGGCTGCTGCTGCCATGGCTATGTAGGATCTTGGTTTCTCTAATTGATAGATAAAGATCACTTTTTGTGCAAACTTTTCTCCTACTTATATAGTTTTTATATTATTCCCTCCGTCCAATATGCGACGGTATTTGACTGAATATAATGAATAAAAAAATATTTTTATACAAATAGATGGCTAGATTTACTATTTATTTTTTTAATCGATATACATAAATTATATACGGTTATATATATATATATA